ATCCCCAGGAGAAACGGCAGGAATAAAGTTTAAATGGGATCGAGCAACTTCTTGTTTAATTTCCAAAATAAATAATTGCTTTAGAAGGTAACAGAGGATGAGACCCCAGTTTGCAGTGGGTCAGCAGTGATGCTCTGCTAGTCAGATCCTGTTCCTGAGCTTAGCTTTAACCTTCGTTTTCTGCCTTGCTCCTTATGGATGAAACCAGTGGATGTTCTAATCCCCTGCAGCAGCAGGAATTCACATCCACTTTCAAAGCTGTCAGCTAAAGCCATTGGAAATCAGGGCTGGAGAATATAGTCTAAGTAAAATGTGCTGGTTTTGCATGCCAGAAGGTTTGTCTAGTCACTCTGCTGTCTCACTGCCATTAACAAAGAGTTTAGGGGAGCACGGCTCCTTTCAGGAGAGGCAGCATCTTCTACCTCTTCAACCAAGAAAGAGGCAATCCTCCCGCAATAGGAATAAAAAAGAAGGAAAATGAAACAGAAAGATAAAAAGCAGATCTCCAGCTGCTGGGAATGGAAAATAAGGAGTCAAATCTGATGTTTACACTGCTCGGTAATACATGCAAGAGCAAAGGGGGATTATATCCAGCAAATGCTCTGTGTTTTCAGGGGTGTCTGAAGGAGCCAAGGGTTCCCCAGGCCCATTGTTATTCCATTTCTCCTTCTTTGCTCTCCTGAGTACTACTGGTGTGTAAAGCTCCTCAATCTGGTTATTATTGACTTTTATGGAAATCCTTTCTTCTGCAGCCTTGTGACCCAAATAGCAGCATAAGCAGTTTTAATTTTACTAGGCTCATACCCACCCTTGCAGCTCCCATAATCCCTACTTTGGGGCCCGCTGGAATAAACATTGCCTATGACCTGTCAGGTAGTGCATCATGTTAATATAAACAGCGCCTCGAGGTTTAACTTGGCAGTGCCAGCTACATCTACACTTGGCCCAGCTTTTGCCATCTCTCATATCAAATGGCACAGTGACTCTTGCTCCACTTTGGAAGAGATTCTCTTGTAATAGCATCAACTAAATAAGCATGTTAAACCCAGGAGCTTTGAATACACAAGAACTGCTTCTCCCAAAATCAACATTAATGCAGATCCCTGATATGAACCCCATAACACTGTCATATATGTTAGCAGTACCAGCTGGAGCATGCATTCCTTGGGCAGCATTGGAGACACATGGCTGCTGATGAGCTGAAATGCAGGAAAGGCTGAGAGATGTTGTTCAGATGGGTCTGTATGTACCCAAATGCAGCTCCTGCTTCTGCTCAGAGACTACAACGCGCTGTTCCCCAGCTGCATGTGTTACAGCTGCCCTCGAAATGCACAGAAAAAGAAACAAATTGGCCAAAATAATTTGAATTAAGCTATCAAGGAAGGATAGATCTGAGCTTCTCTGAATGCCCCATCAACAGCTGAGGTGGTTTAAAGAGGGAGCAGCATCTCTCTTCTTCTTCTGCTGGACAGAAAGAAGGAGAGATGGAGGGATGTCCTTGCCAAGGGCCACCCTAAACCATGGGGTTGTGACTCAGCATGACCCTAGAGGGGATAGAAGAGCTAAAGTGAGGAGGAAAACACCAGCCAAGTGCTTTGTACTGCAGCGGATCCCTGGGGTCCTGCATGACTCAGCAGCAGTGGCGCATTACCCATCACTGTCCCGGTGCTTTGAGTCACACCAAGCCTCAGATGGCCCCAGAAGAGGGACCAGGGCTGAAAATCCCTCCCAGGCGTGGCTCCTGTGCTCAGTCAAACCAGCCTCTGAGCACTTAGCATGGTATTTTTACACATGATATATTGCTCTGTGCTCATGTTAACCAAACATGAATTTTCTGAGATGCTGGCCCTGGAGAAGGGCTGTCTGCCAGCTTCAGCTACAGGATACACACAAGGTAAAATGAAATACTCTGTGCAATCTAATACAATTTAACTTCCAGAATTGCTTCCACATCCAGTTTAGTCTGAAAATCAAGACTGGCATGGTTTAAATCTTCTTTTGCACAATGAAAAGGATGTCACACAAAATGTATGTTTCCTTCTGCAGGACTTCCTGAGCAATAAACAAGAGCTCATCCACCGCTGCTCCTCCTTCCCCCTCTCCCCATCTTCCTTGGGATGTGGTTCAAGCGGGCAGAGAATAAGGCCATTATAGGACAAAATAGAAGGCCACAGGATGCAATAATTCAGGTTTTAATACACATTTACAGTAGGAGTTTGATTTAGAAGGGGAACGAAGATACAGCTCATTTTAGACTAAAGCTCACACGTTCCTGTGTTTCATATCCATCCCTGGGGAGGGGAAAAAAAACAGGACAAGATTGCCACCTTAAATCTTCTTGATCTCTTGTATGATAAAATTGAAACATACAGATTAAGGGTGACAAATACAGGTCAGGGTCTCCTAATCTGTGCAGCAGAGGCTGGCAGCACAGAACCGCACAGCGTGCTACCCAGCTGGGATTGCCAAATCAGACTGTAAGTGTCTCTGATGCACTTAGCAATGTGTTTAATAGAGTTTTAATTGCAGAGTGATTGCATGTGATATTACAGAATTACCACAGATTACTTAATTGACTATTTGTTTGCTGAGGTTAAGAAGATATTTCTCCCAGTATGTGTTGTTTCTGCTATAGATCCTTGCCTCCATATTATTTAGCACAGTATTGTCTGAGCCACAGAAGCAGAGATCCTTTACCAGGAGAAAACCACTTTCATTTGATGCCTTGGTAAATTTAACAGGCAGATGTGTGAGACTTAATATTGGCTGTAGAAAGAATCCAAATCCTGCTGCTCCTAAAGAGCTACATGCAGGGGAAGCAGCTGGGAAGTGCTAGTGGATGTAGGTCTCTGCAAAAACTATGATGTGCACAAATGAACCTGTGTTGGGAGCCCGTTGGGAAGCTGCTTTCACAGCCTGAAAACCCAGCTAATCCTGTACAGCTTCTGGGAAAGCAGGTGGACTGGAGCTGTGATGCTGGCTTGTTCCTGTTGGCCTAAGGCTGATGGGTGGAGGGGAAGAGGCTGGACAGCATCACTTCTCCTGTGGCCCCTGGCAGGGTGCTCCTGGGGGGTCATGGGTGGACTGCTCCATCCTGGGCAAACCAAAGGACCATCCAACAAAGAACTTAGTTCCTGGAGATGCTCAAAAGCAGATGATCAGAAACATGGAAGAGCAGGGCAGGCATCCAGCGCTCCCTCTGAGCTTCCCAGTGGACATCCCCACTTCTCCCGCATAATGTGTCATCCAGGGGCTGTCCCCATCAATGTTCCATCAACGTTCCTCAGGGCAGGATCAGATGCAGGTCAACTTCATTCTCCTGACAGCGTCTGAAAAGCTGCAGGCTGTCTAGTGATGAATTGCATCTGTGATCACAGTGACCATATAGCAGCCAGAAATATTCAGATTGAAATAATGAATTCACTTGGAAAAGAGAATAAAACCAGACCCTCTAGCCTTCCTTCCAAAACATGTCTCTTCAGTTGCCTGAAACTTTATTGAATAAATGGCTTTTGCAGCATTCCTGGAAGATGCTCATATATCATGCAGGCTGATACTAAAAGAATATAACCATCTCCTTTGTTAGTTAGGAGAGACAGCACACGGGGTTGAAATGAGGCTGTAAGTACTGAGGAATTACTTAATTTCTGTACAAATTAGGCAGTGGCTCTGTTAGTGATGACACCCACAGAAACAGGGCACAGACCCTTCCCTCCCCACTCCACTACTGAAGCCTCCCCCGTGCCTCTTGTCTGAGTAATGGTGATGGGGAGATGCAACCACAGCCAGACTTGCTCCTCCTGGACTGTGTTTTTAAAGGGAAACACATCTTTCTGCCTGTCTCCTCTATGAGCTGTGGCATAGTCCCTGTGGGATGGCAGTGTCTGGGTCTGAGACACATCCACATAAATATTTTCAATCCCAAGGCAGAAGGAAAAGCAGCCTTTGCCTCCACGTGCCAAACCCGCATTGCACTGGTGATGCGTAGCTCTCAAAGAGAGCTCTGCTGCTTCCTAGCCCCTTACAGGTCACATAAAGGACAAGAGTGATGTGGCCTCTATTCTCCATACAGCAAATTTGGGATGAAGAATTAGCATAATTATTCCATTTAGCCTTCATTCTCTTCTTATCTTTTATTGTGTTACGTTTTAACTGAGATTTCTCGATTTCCTGCTAGGATTCTGCCAGAATCCTGTCATCTCATGCAGAGGTTGAAATGCATATTACAAAAGGAAACAAATCTTTCCCTTGATTGCCTGATCTGTCTGGTCTTTAATCTAGATTGACAAACGCACTCTATCCAACAGCACTTTCATCCTTCAGAGCTGTTGCATTTTATTTTCCATCATTTGATGTCCCTTGGCTAGAACCGGAAAGGAAAAAAACATATCATCTTTCTCTGGTTACCCTTTAATTTATCATTTTTATTATGGCAATGTCTAGAGCCAAACATCTTGTAATCAGTGTCTCAGGAATTGCAAAAACGTGGAACAAAAGGACGAGCCCTGACACCAGAAACCAGCTCCTGAGGCTGTTTAATGATCCCTAGCACCACAGGGACTGAGACCAGTGGCTCCACATAGCAAACTAATGGGATTACAGCGTCCCTGACTCCCTGTCTACCTGGATGAAAAACATACACTAACATCCCTCAAGTAGCTTGGACAAAATACGCAGTGCCACAAGGGCATGAAACACAAGGACAGATGCAAACACAGTTTCATAATCCAAAGTCTGAACTAGGCATCAGCAGTTCTTTACCTTAACTTCTATCATAATGTCATTTCCCCTGTGCTTATTGTTATTTTCTGTTATCTCTGTTATGCTTGTTTTTACAGACATTTGCAAGCTGGCTGTCCCTCAGGGTTATTAATTCTTTGCAGTAGGGGGGGGTTTAGATAAAACAGTTTACAGCAATAAGCACCGCACATACAGGTCTCTTTTTCACCCCGACAGAGAATTGCTAGCAAAAAGTAATGGTTTTTTTTCATACCTTGCAGGTGCTGTGGTGATTGCCTTCGTGGTCTGTTGGCTCCCTTATCACATACGGCGTCTCATGTTTTGCTATGTCCCCTCCAGTCACTGGACAGAGTGAGTAACAACACAGGGGACCAGCTCCCACCATGCTGGGATGTGGTCTGGGGATGGGGCTGCCACGATACCAGCAGACTTGGGGATGGAGATGGGGATTTGAGCATTCTGCATATGAGGGGTTAAAGCCTCAACCTCCTAATTGTGGTTTGGTTTATTCTTTTGGGTTTCTTACCATTTTTACCAGCCAAATTAAGAGTTTTATCGTCTAAATCCCCATATGTGGGTGAAGGAAGCATTAGTTCGAACCAAGATGCATTGTCAGCCCTCCCTTCTTCTGTGGCTGCGACCACAGGCTTGCCACTGTTAACAACAGCAATGGACAGCCACCTCTGACAGGCCTTGATGAAATGACATTTGGAAAGGGGGTTTTAGACATCCAAAGTGAATTGCTATCTCTGTGGCAGAGTTATTGATCATCAGCCCTGAAACGGAGCAGCTCCTGTCAACGCACGATTTAGCTCCATGATGCCACATTTCCTTAGTGACAGGAGAGATTATCACATAGGTGGGGAAATAACTGAGTGTGGGGCATGTTACTCACTGGGTCTTGCAGGGAGTGGATCAAAATTAAATACTAGCAGTTGCACTGATTAGAAAATGTGCAGATTCTCAGAGAATTTAGGGATAAGTGCATGCTTATGCTGAATGCACGTGCACCGGTCACAGATGTGCAAGGGCACACAAGCAGCTCCGTGCAGCCTTTCTGCTGTGTCAGGCCAAGTTCCTCAGCAAAGCAACCATAGAACTGATTATTCACTTTAAATCTGCAATTAAGTGCTAATGCTGTCTGGGGATACATACCCAGGTAGCCTGAGACAGGGTGAGACGCACTGTCCTCCCCTGGTGTTACATCCCTGTTCTCCCTGGGACCAGGTCTGTTTCCTGCAATGAGCAGGGAACAGGAAAAGAAAAGAATCCACAATACCAAAAGGCAGAGGAACTCTGAGACATTAAAATTTCATTAACTGCAAACATAAAAAGGAGTAATTTACAATACAGAAGTCTATTGAATGGAATTGTACATCCATCCGTAGTGAAAACCACAAACCTATCTTCAATCACAGAAACAGAGCTCTAGGCACACACTGGGACAAACTGCTTTTTCTTGGTTGCTTTCCTATAGGAAAAGCACTTAAAGCAGCAATCAATTATGTGATGACTGCCTTTGATTTATGCATTGTGGTTGCACTCCCATATTATTTGTTTCTCCTTTTAAAAGCCATGAGGGATCCTAGGGAAACATTGAATTTACAGGCATATTAGGAATGGTGAAGTATCAGTATGGTACCTAATCAAGAGCTGGCAGCATCTGGATGTGTTCATTTATAAATGCATTCTGCCCATGAAGTTGATAGACTTTTGCTATATTAATTCTTCCTATCTTCATATAAAAACTGCTTGGAAGAACTGGATGGGTCATGCAGTACTTGGCAGTGCTGAAGGGGTGTGGAGGGATTGGTGATATACTCCAGCACACATCTATTTATCTTTTGTTAGGCAGCGCTCAGCTAACAAAAAGGTCTGCAATTTCCACTGAGGTGAATGATCCTGGGCAACATCTTCTTGCAAATGAGACCCATGCTGTTTATAACTGTTTCAGCTCCGAGCTGTTGATCTCAGTTGGCCCAAGGAGAGGTATTTCCAAAAGAAAAGAAAAATAGCGACACATTTTCAACCAATTCTAGTTGAAAACATTATACTGCTATGGTCAGGGTATGTTTCAAGAGCACATTATCATCAGCTTGTCCCCAGAATAGAAAATGCTATCCCAGATTGCATGCAGATCCCAACCCAGGGGCCCATTGAATGAGCTGATGCAGCTCTCACTGCTGGGAGAGACAGCTGCATCTGGATCTTGGCTCTTCTGTAGGCTCTGTACACTAAAACTGCAGCCAGAAAAGTCAAGCTGATGTATATGCATGACACAGAAACAGATTTCCATCCGGCTTCTCAGTTTCCAGAATCTATCTTTGATTTCAAAATGAATGCACAAGGTAAATACCACGTCCAGACCCAGCGCATAAATAAGTTTCTAACTGCTAGTGATTGGGGTAAGACTCCCATAGAGACATTTGACCTACGTTTGGCCAGTCCAAGTGGAAAACATAGATGTTTTCCTGGTGGCTCATGCACCATTGGTAAGTTCATGTCCCCAGCCAAGACGGATTAACTGAAAAAACAGCTCATGCTTTTCTCACCCTTGTGGCTTTGACTTGAGTTCTCCACACTCTACTTAGATTTTTCTCTTTCATCTGTTCTTCCAGCTCCCTTTTCAACTTCTACCACTACTTCTACATGCTGACAAACGTCCTCTTCTACATCAGTTCGGCGATCAACCCCATCCTCTACAACCTGGTGTCTGCAAACTTCCGACAGATCTTCCTGTCTACGCTCACGCTCCTGTGCCTGCCATGGAGGAAGAAGAAGAAACGACTGGCCTTCACCAGGAAATCCAACAGCATCTCCAGCAACCACACATTTTCCAGCCAGGTCACAAGGGAAACTACATACTGAAGCCAAAGGATGAAGGGAAACGCATTTCATCGCGGAGTCAAAACTTGAGAGAGGCCTCTGTGACTTTCATGCATGGTCTCCAAATTCACGTGTAACACAAATGTGTTTAGCAAAGTCATTTTTGTTGGAAGAATAGGCTTCGTTCTGCCAGTAACTTTGAGGTTATTTTAAAGCATTGGCCTTGCCTCTTGTGAGTAATGTCTACACGTTTTGTAACTTCAGTCTGGCATAAATCAAGATGCAGTGTTAACTGGGAAGCCAAAATATGTTATACTTAGGCAAAAATCATACTGCGTTCATCCTTGTCTCAATGCAGAGATGCCATGTTCACATCCAAGGGTTTGAGATCCCGTCTCTTGGTGGCACCGAGCAGAGAGTCTGATGAGGAGAAAGCAGTTTTGAACAGAAAAGGATGTTTTTGGAGAATGGACATGCTGTTCTATGGGATGTTCAATGGATGAGGAGTGAAAACTCAGGGAGCCAGGTGGTTACTTTAGGAATATGTCTACTTTATGAGTAATATGACCTAGGTGCTCAGAAGAGCCAGTCTGGCTCCTTGGAATGAAATAACAACATATGATGCCTTACCTAGGTTGGGGTGGCTGTGGCTTGGGGGAATGAGGGTCACCTTTCACTTTAGGGCATCTATAGTGCCTGGCACAGTGAATCCCCTCTCCTGCTGGTATTGGTACTGCAACATCAACAAATAGCAAAGTCTCTGGCAAAGTCAAGAATGCAGAAACTCTGCCCAGCTGGAGCACTGAGAATGAACAGAAATGGAAAATCTTCCTTTTTCCATATAGCTAAATCCTGTTTTAAACCTGGGAGAACAGTTAGCTGGCCTGCATTAAGAGATGAAAAAGTGTCAAGCTCTGTGGACCTTCAGATTTTTCCCATTCTTATTCCAATTTTACTTGCTTCCTTACCATTTTCACAAACTGATAGCTCAGAGGTCACATCAGTTGTAAGCAGCAGGGCCTCTTGTTCTGCCTATTATTTCTTTTTGCTGCCAGACCTGCTGTCACCCTGATCTGCACAGAAGAATCTTCAGGTATTGCAAATGGAGGACTCAAGAAGGTCTAAACTGGGGAGTCTTAGCTCTAAAATAACTTTCTTTTAACAGGCAAAAGGAACAGAAACAAGACCTGAAAATTCTCCTTGACATTTCTCAGATGGTCAGGATAGGTAGCATGAGCTTTTCCCCCATATGGTTCCACTTCTAACAGCCCGCTGTGCAGTGTACCAACTGCTCCAGAGTCTTTGGCAAAGGAAATCGCACACTTCTGGGACAAGCTAAAGGGCTTTCCCTGCTGTCACATCACCACATGGTGACCTGCATGAACCTGGAACCAATCCATCATCCTCTGCAACCTCTGCTGTGATTTATTGGCGGTGACCTTGCATCCCCTTTCACACCACATTTTGTTAGGAGAGCAGGGCTTGCCCCTTTATGATGACAAATGAGAAGAGTCACTTGGCTCAATTCTGCTTTCTGATCCCATGTCACTCTTCAGCTAACAAGCATCCTTGGTACTTAGCAGAAGTCTCAATGATGGAGATGTGGATCTAGTCCCAGTGATGAACTCACACAGTGATGGAGACGACTTACTGATCCACTGGGTACCGGTGAATTCTCCTGATATAGATGTGCTATCATGGAATATCTCAGGTTGAAAGGGACTTATAAGGATCATTGAGCCTGACTCCCTGGGCTAGTGATTTAAGTCCTATTGGGCTTAGGACATAGAGAAAACAATTGCAGAGCATTTGCTGTGAGTCATTAGAGAAAGCCATCTGCTTCTGAGGAATATATAACCTGAAGTTGTAAAGACTTAACTACCATCATAGACCTGGCGACCATCAGCCATGGCCCCCAGCCACACCAGGGATTGGAGATTATTTTAACCCTTAGTACAGAACCACTCCAAAAGAAAGGGCTCAAAATAGAAGTCAGTGAGGCTTTAGTTTCAGTTTCTTCTGATTCAGCCAAACTGCAAGCTCTCTTCTGTCATGCCTTCTAATTCCTTGCCCTGGTTGTACCAAACAGGGGGCAGAGATTACAGCTGACAAAGCACTTTAGTTGCTCGTGCACAGCTGACTCCTCTTTGGCAAGAAAAACAGGTAATGGCACACACAAGAGAATAAAGAAAGAAAAAAGCAAAAAGGAGACTGGTCTCTTTGGAAGGAAATCTGAGAAATCAGTAAATGTCATCTGTCTGCCTGTTAGAAATAGCTTAGGCAGGCTGGAGAAAGCTCTAGAATACCGATACGTACTGCCCTGTACAATGAGCAAAGGAAGAGGAGTCTTAATGTCACACACTTAACATTGGCACTTCCAGTGTTTCTGGAGAGGATCCGCATATTTTAACTTCACCTCTAAAATGAGCCAGCAGCTGGGAGGTGGTTTTGGAAACCTCCCACAGAAGCTGTAACTGTTGCTTTGACTTCCCTTGGGATTTAACATCCTGCGTGTCTCAGTTGCTTTTGAAAGGTTAAACATTATTAATATACTCCTTCCACACCAACCAACCTGCTGAAATGTGCTGGGTTATCTTAGAAAACACTGTTCAAAACCTTGTTGTTTCACATAAGATGCTTGTATCAGATTTTCATTACTGAGATACATAGGCAGAATACAGAATATTCGATCACAGCTCAGAGAAACTGGTGGGTTTATTTCTGGTTTGACATGAAAATGGGAACAAGCTGGAGTAAAAATGAAGTTATCATAAACTCTTCCCACAGTATTTGTTGGGCCACTCAAGTCCTAAAGGGATGACTATTCAGGGGGATGTATCCAAGCAGTTTGAGGGGTTCTACAGCTCCGTTCCTGCAATTTAACATGGGAGCAGACCTAAATCTATGGCCTTAATCTGAGATTGAGGCTCAAAGCTACCTCTTTCACTGGCCAAATCTGACTACCTTGAGCTGAGAAGTGTAAATTACAGCTGATTTCATCCTCTCCCCCCTCCTCACCTATTTTTGCTATGGTCAATAGAGATATTTAGTGCCCTTGAGCTCAAAGAAGTGAGGATAACTCACTGCAGGACGCCATGGTTTTGTAAAGGAAAGCATGACACCATAGAGAAGGAAATAGTACAAACTGCCCAGTATATGCTAGAAAACTAGCTCTTTCCATGTCTTCTAACAACAGTTGAACTATGAACCCAACAAGGTTTAGCTTTAAACCTAAGTGAGTACAAGTGGCTTTTGCCATTAGACAACATGCATCCTCCCATCCTTTGCATTCCTGTCTTGTCTGGGGCAGAGGTGAGTGTTGGAGCAGCACGATGTTAATCTATGCAAATTTCCTGTAAGTGTTTTGAAATGTTTGTTCCCACTTCATAAAGTATCTGTTGAACCCACAGATGTGAAGTGCTGCCAGATGGATCCCGAGAAATTCCCATCTGAAGAGAGTCTACCAAACGACCTCTTTCAAATGCTATTTTGAGGCTTTGTTTCTCTTCACAGCATCCTTGCTAGGGCCATCCGTTTGGCAGCGTGTGAAATCAGGTTTACAAAGTCATGATGCGATTTGGAAACCTCCCCCAGACAGGACTTTCTCACCAAAGGCCCAGCACACATCAGTGTTTGAGTGCTCTGCTGAGCTCGTCTATTTTGTAAAGTGCATGAGACCTCGCTCCAATGACTGCGCCCCTAAAGGAGAACACTAAATGGAAAAGCCAAAGGAGGGTTAGGAGGACACAGGCTGTAAACATGGTAATAGCAGGACCTTTGCACTTATAGCATCAAACATTCAGTGAAATAAAACCCAAGGTGCGCTCTTGCTGCAGACAGCTTGTGTTGCAGGTTTGAACCCTTCATCGTGGGGCTGCCATCCCTACCGTGCCCCTGGACAGACATCCACATGGCATGAGAGAGCTAGAGCTTACCTGTACAACACCTTGAGTGTCAGTCTGATACCTTCCTGGCTGTGTTGTTTGGTAGCTGTTTAAACTAAGGTGTATCTGCTTGAGCTCAGGCTGGTTCTTAACATTACAGTTCTCCTGTTCTCGGTCTGGATTCGGTTAGTACGACAACAGGAATTGCCAATCCAAAATCTCATGGTGCCCTGTCCTGGCTTTGTGATCAAGAGTCCTTCCCCAGCCGTGCCACCTGATAGTCCTGCACATATTGTATTTAAATGGCGAATACTTTTTGAAGTGCACCTTTTATTTTCTGAGATACAAAACGTTGATGTGCTTTATTTTCTGTGGCCTGTTGTGCAATGGGGAAAAAAGATGAATGTTGCAAGTGAGTCAGCGTCTCCTTTGTAGTATTTTCTGTGACAAAGGGAAGGAAGAGGGTGTAAAATCCTTTTGTGTAGCAATGGGAACCACTCTTTTGATGTAACATGCTGTTATTGATACTGTATTTACTGATCGAACTGCAATGAAATGGTTACTTCTTGATATAGCCTTTGTACTGTATGGTATCTTATTTTATTTTGTCATTTATTGATCCTAAGAAATAAACATCCAAATTTAAGGCTTGGGCTGGAAGTGTTTGAAATGGCAGCTGTGCCTTTAGCATACAGCCTGCTTACCAGTGTGGGCTGTCTGGTTGTGGTCTAAACTGGTGAATTCCCATCAAACTTGAACTGACCTTTGCATCTCCTCTGCAGGAGGGCCCCTGAGTCCTCTCCTACAGTATGTAGGCTGGCTTCAATGCACTGGGAGCTGTAGGTACAGAGCAAAGGAGACGGACCTTATCCCAAAGAATTTGTTGCTTGAAACCAAAGCAGGTTTACTGTTCCCCAGCAGTAAGATTTCCCTTCCTACCTTCCTCTCTTTTCCATGATGCACTTCCTCCCCGGCATCTGTTTTTGTAATAGAGATATAATTTTGTGGGAACAAAATACTTGGGTGTCACCCACTATATTAAAGTGTCCTAACACTTAATGAGCAAAAATCAGACCCCTGCACTCCCCCTGCAGCTCCCAGTTAACATCCTGTTGTGAAATAGCCCAGCTGAACACCAGGAAAATCCACAAAATATTCATAGTTTTTAGGCATTCAACCCTACTGCATTGATTTCTACTAGAGGGAAGTTTGCTCGGGAGGAGCAACAAAATAAACATTAAATATTTGGAATCATTCATGCCTGGAAAATCTTCTGAAAGACAGCTAAAATCACTGCCTCTCCAAAAGCATTTTGGTGCTGCTTCTAGATGAGAAGAGCAGGAGCTTCTATTGTCCTTACACCATCAATCATTAAAGAATCGTACCATTTATTTTATGCATCATTTTATTTGGTCTCCAGCCCTGCTCTGTTAAAGGGTGTATCTTTAGTCTGATGCCTACGTTGCTGCTTTCGTGCCTTCAGCAGTGAAAACCCACAACAAGTGGCAATCATCTCCTTGTTTTCCAGCTGCAGGAGACCTTTGTGCAGGGCACGATGCTCCCAGTGGATCCTCCATGTCTTAAGCAGAAATCCAGACCACATGGAGTGAAATATGCTGCCCTTTGCTTATGACTTCTCTAGCTCAGGGCTGACTCCTTGACAGAGCAAAGCCCTCGGGAACCAGAGATCCTCATTCCTCCCATGCAACCCTCCCACTCAATGTCACGCGATAGAGCATCCCATCACACCGCAGTGACGTGAGGCAAAACAAAATGCTGCAGACAGTCCATTCATTTCTGCCTTTTCCTGTTAGAAAGGCACAAGGACTGTGCCCCAGGCAATGAGGAATGCCCGTATTTCTCATTTCAATTGGAAAAGTAACTTCCATCGTCCACAAGAGGAAAATTTCAGGCGCTTTCTGAAACAATTGTTATGTTTTAGTAAATGGCTTCATGAAATGTAATAAAACATCCACCCAGAAGTTAATTTATTTAAAATGTCTTTAAACCCTCCTCTGCCTTATTGGATTTGTTTGAACTGTAGATCAAGCCAGAGTATATTCATGAGGGTATTTAAGCAATAAGGCAGTGCATCCTGGTTATTATAAGTCTCCTGTGGGCTATGAACTATGAAGCAGAGCATGAAGTGACTTTGGGCACTTAAGTGCAAAGCCCCCTCAGAAGTACACGAGCACAGGCACAGCCCCACGTGCTGTGGGGCGGCCAAACCAAAGTGATGGGGTTGTTTCCCAGGAGTAAATCCAGGGAGGGTGAACACAGAGGACCCAGACCTGCCTCTGCCAGCCCAGCACTGGGCTCACACAGCCAAATGATGGAGGAAAGGGTCATAAATATCACAGCCTGGTTTGGGTCGAAGGGACCTTAAAGCTCATCCAGCTCCAGCCCCTGCCATGGGCAGGGACCCCTTCCACTGGAGCAGCTTGTTCCAACCCCCTGTGTCCAACCTGCCCTTGAACACTGCCAGGGATGGAGCAGCCACAGCTTCTCTGGGCACCCTGTGTCAGCGCCTCAGCACCCTCACAGGGAAGAGCTTCTGCCTAAGAGCTCATCTCAGTCTAAGACAGTTCAACTGACCCACCAGGGACCGTAGCTACCAAAGAGAAAGAAAACACAATGTTTGTTCCTGAAGAAAGTCTTGCTGAAAGCAAAATAAGTGGGAAGAGTCAGAAAAAACTTAAATTAAACTAAAACATCTCAGAGATGGCCAGAATATCATCACAGCGGTGAATATGCAGCCACACACTCACGTGTGCATACACTCACTGTAAGCTGTTGTCCTTCCAGTGGTGAGCTCTTCCTCTTGGCTGGCTTGGCTACTTTGCATCACCAGTGACATGATCTTTCATTACACTTGGCTGCTTCTCTATGAAATACTGAAGAAAGGGGAAACAAAATCCTTCACCCTTTTAACACAAAAATGTACAACCATCTTGTAAAGCAGGAGCAGTCCACTCTGTGCTTTCACACTGCTGCTGTTCCACTGTGCACTGCTGAGTTGTCCGGCTTTGTTGTGAACTGAACTTACATAAAGGAGTGATTATGAACACATGGAAGACCTGCTTCAAGATCTGCAAAGGTACAGAGAGAATAAAGAACTCCTCTCCTGCAGGTAACATGGGTATCTTGGATGGATCATTTCACCTTGATGAAATGCAGCATGAAGATGAAAGGACAGACACAGCATGTTTTGCCATCACATTAGTTTCAGTTGCATTAAGAGCTGACCTAGTTAAATTGAGATTTCTTTGTTCCTTTCTTCTGCTTCTCCATTCTCCTGACACTGGAAGCTGCTCTATAGGTACGTTCAAGACTTCTGCAATACAGCTTTCAGCCTCGGGCACTGCTATAACACATTGTAATTATTCAGCTCTTATTGATCTGTACCTCATCGCTGCTCCAGAACTATGCAATCTCCAATGAAAACATTCACATAGCATTTTCATCAGTGCTGAGCAGGTATCAGCACAGGTCACACAGCCCTGGGGTTCATCTCCCTGCCAAAACCAAGCATGCAAGGGAAGATTCCCAGCACCAGAGCTACAAGGGATGTTTGTAAAACCCTGGTGTTCCCAGAAATGCATGAAGGGAAAGCTGCTTTCCCAGCCAAGCTGGCGCAGATGTAGAAGATACTCTGAATAACTGGAGTGTGGGTTGCACAACGCCATACTCACTCCTCTGAAATCACATTTACTGTAGAATAGCCTCCCCCCGGCTCAGCTGGAGAGCAAACAGCCACTTCTGCATCCTGCATGCTGTACAGTCACTTGGGGACTCGCCAGCACCTCAGCATCTCATGAACATCATTGAGATGTAATAGCCGTCGTTATTCAGATTTAACAGTGTTAGCCCACTGCTAACAACCCAGCAAGCTCTGTACCTTCATTGCTGCAAGGCTGCTTTTGCCTTATGGTACAGATTTCAGGCACAGAGAACTTAAGGGATTGACTCAATGACTGTAATGAAATCCTCTTGTAGACCAGAGAGTCAAACCCCAGCACAGTCAACTCTGATTCATTGTTCCCTTCATTCAGCATAAGCAGGTAGTCTATGAGCTATTTTAAACCTCCGTTCCAAGACATAAATTAGCAAAACATGCCAACATTCAACCATTTGAAAGCAACTTCTCGCTGGCTGTCAGCAACAGCAACCACCTTGGCATAACACTTGGCAGGTCTGAGTGTTCCTGAGGGTGCTGTTATCCGTGCTGTCTTAGTACAGGCTGCAGGAGCAGCTGAAACGCTGTGCTCTGAATTTAAACAATATCCATTGAGTGGGAATGACCTCAGCAGTGCTATGGGGAGCTGTAACAAACTCTGTGACACCTGACATTTTCAACGCCCTAGTTCTTTTGTCCACTTGAAAAGCAGCTACTGCTACCTACAGCATATCCAGTACGGCTCCACACATGGCATGCATTCTTACAGCTTCACATTCCTGCAAGAAATCATTTGTTTGTCTTCCTTCAGGCTGGCAGTTGGGTTAAGATCAATTTCTCTTTACCATCACTGCAAGCATGAAATGACATTTTCTATGACCATCCCAACAAAACACCTCATGTAGCCAGTGGTGTTCCCTGACTCAGAACTTGAGGTTTACCCTTCTCCTTTCTCTGGCCTTCATCTGGATTGAGGAAAGCAAAAGGTACAGGGATTTTAAAGCTGGTCACCAATGAGCCCCAGCAAGGCAGCCAGACTTGCCTAGAGAAGCAAGCATCCTTCCAGAGGAGGCTGATCTAGCAAAACATGTAAGCACAAGCCTATAGGATTTAGAAATGAAACCTTCTGTATCTGCAGACAAACCCAGTTTGTGTTTCAATGACCGAGTCTACCTTTGTTTTAGAGGCTTTTTCTTTCAAACATCATTTAGCAGGGGCAGACTGAAGCAGTTCATTATGCTCACAGCTCCAGAGCCAATCTTAGATGCCAGAGGCACTGATCAGATTAAAACAGAAATCACAGTTTGTAGCTTGTGTCTTGAAGGAACAAAGACTCCCTTCCTGATTTTAACTGAATACAGAATGATATCTCTTGCTTATTGTATATATTACGACTGCAAGGAGGGAAAGCATTTGTCACAGCACGCCTCAGTGCTTCTTAATATACTGTTTATCATATGGAACTCACTGACATTCACAAAACACCCTTGCAGATTTCACTTTGTATCTTAATAAGTTTCATAGACTTTGGGAGATGATGGAGAAAAAGAGGTGCTCCCATGCTGCCAGCCTCACTCCATTCACACACCATTAAAACCAGCTCCTCATCGAAGAGCGCTGTGCTTGGCTTAGTACAGCTCACTGGTAGAAATCCCTCTCCCCCTTGCCCTAGGGATATGATCTTTGTGAGATCAGCCACTTTGTTATAGCCTGATTCCTGGGGAAGAAGGGCTGTCCTCTTCAGTAAACTGAGGAAGAATGCATGTGTGAATGGCAGCTTTATACCTGTGGTGAACAGGAAAGCTAAAGCTACCCATAGATGAACACAAAGACTGAATGTGTGGAGGGCTATTTCTGCCCAACTGATCAGTCCAGAAGGCAAATGCAAAATTAATGAAGCTTTGTACAGGGAGATAGAGGCAAGAAAGGTTTCTGCAGGAGAAGGCCTCACTTTATTTGGCCCCCTGCTG